AAAAGGGAGCTGAAGCCAGAAGGCAAAGCTCTCGTCTAACCGGGCCATTTCCGTCCTACCACCTCCACTATGGTCCATGAAGGATGGGTCATGACCCGAAAGACGAGATCCGCGGATACAAAGCGGCCGAGATGGGTTTTCCCGCAGGGTGGCTGGTGTCTCCCTTAGTGATAAGGTGAGAGGTTCAGTCCATCCGGAGGGACTCAGAGTTGAACCTGCTCCTTCCCTTCGGAGTCGAAAGGCAGCCCATGTTTGAGGTGGTTCGAGCACCCTAGTTACGGCTGGGAGGGGACAGAGGGGTAGAACAAGACCTAGTGAAGGGATTTATATCTCCTTCTCCGGCCTGGGAGCGCTCGTTGGGACCCCCCAGTCAGAGCTGGTTGATGTGGGGAAAGGAACGTTTGGGGCTCTCTGCTGGAACTGCTACCCCCGAGACCCGACCACGGATAAGGGGGAGAAGATGGATGGATTGAACTTAATCAAATAAGTTTGTTTCTAATATATACATTGATTTTAAATGACGGAGCGTCACTAAAATATTAAGGTTAAAAACCATGGACCATGAAATAAGTATTTAAATAACAATTAAAGGAGATAGATTTGCCGAACTCAATATTAACTATACTCTCAATTTGTGTTTGAAATGGTAGTGTAGATTGTTTTTATAGATGTTTTGGGGGACAAATGAACTCAAACAAACTCATGCTTAACAAAAGAACAAGAAAACTCTCAATTCATATTTTAGAAAACTTCTTAAAACTCTCATTAGATATTATATTTTGGATAAACTGGTGTGATATTTTTTTTTTTCTTATCAATAGCTTACATGTTTGTGTCTGTTTTGGACCTGAATATCAGCTGCAGCTTCCAAATAGAGTTCTGTTACTCAGATACTAACATGTGTACTTGTATTTTCCAATGAGTATTACATTTGTATGGGGTTCTAATGATGAGAATAATGTATGGATGAGAAGTTAGATCATAGATGGTGTTCTGTTTTCATTTGTACATCAGCCACCATAATGACAGTAAATGACTTGATATGCTTTCCATGTCAGTGTCAAGTGTTAATATTCTCTTAAACAGACCATTTCCACCACATTTTATCCCCCATTATCTTTAATCAATGCCATTTCTCCCCCTGTCGACGTTCATTGGATCTTTTTGGATGAGCATATCCCCAATCACCCAAAACACCACATTAAAATTACACCGAGGTTTAATTATAATGATACCGCCTAATGGGGATCTCGTCAGTTCTGTCAGTGCAGCTAAATGAACCCAAATGAAATCACTTAAAATAATTACGAATGTATTACTGAGGTGAATGAAGGACTTGTTTGGTGAAAGGGAAACATAACGTAGGCTGTTATTTTCATCGCTTGTCTTTCAGGGATATCGATTAGGACGAAATCAATGAGACAGTTTGCACTCGAGCTGATGTTCTCAGTCAATCAGCTAGATTTAATCTGGGACTCATTTATTAGCCACTGGAAGTTGTTTATTACCTCTTCATCCTCTCATCCCGGAGGCTTCTTCCTCACCCCCCCTCCTTCTAGTCGTTCACTTATTCACTTCCCCCCTTGATCCTTTACTTTCTCACCTCCTCTCTTCTTTCGGCTAACTCAGACCTATCTCTATTAATCAGGGTATTAGGCAGGAAGATAGATTGAAGGGAAATCAGCTTTCCATAGACCGAGTTAATTCTCTCCCTCTATCACACCATCACTCTTCTCTCACATTTCTCCCCTCCCCCATTCTCGTCTTCCCTCCATCTTTCTCCTTCATTTTATCCCATCGTTATAATTCTACTTCTCTCTCCTTCTGTATCACTTCATCTTGATTTGATCCTCTTTCTTTCCGCACCTGTGACAGACTCCTTTCAGAGTTGTTTTAGCAAAGTTACTAAACGCCCACAGCTCCTGACTCTTATTTTCCAATAGACGGAGAGCTGGAGAGACTCCTTGAAAAGCTTAAAGCTCAAATCTGCGTGCTAACAGTAAAGTGAAGTAAAGTGTTTAAAAATGAACACACAGTGAACAGCTGAGGTATAGTGACTCTAAATTAAACGTAAGAGGGTAACTTAAGTCATAACTAATTATCCGGAAAAGGTACCAAATTCTGTGGTGATTTACCAAATAGCAGTAGAGAAAATTCACTCAAAACCACACATGTCAGACTTGTTGTGAAGATAGAGACTCCAAAGTGATGCTGTGTCTCCAGTCACTTACTTATTTACTTATATTAGACCCTCCAGAAAAACGCGGGCAAAAATCCTTGATTATGCGATTAAACATGCGGGGGTTTTATGTGATTTTATGCGGTGAAATTGCGGGAAGTTGCGAAATATGCGGAAAGTTGCGAAATATGCTAAATATGCGGGGGGAAAGAATAACCATTTTTTTAAATATTGGGCTGTATTATTTATTNTGACCCCCAAACCGAGGTACGTACCAAACCGTGAATTCTGAGAACCGTTACACCCCTAATTGTGACATGCTTTTGTTCTTTGCTTTGAAAATATGATTAGCCTACTAATCATATTTTCAAAGCAAAGAACAAAAGCATGTCACAATTAGGGGTGTAACGGTTCTCAGAATTCACGGTTTGGTACGTACCTCGGTTTGGGGGTCACGGTTCTGTAGGGGTTCGGTACAACAAGAAAAAGCAAAAATAAAGTCCCAAATGCATAATTCCAGGTTTGTTATTTATTTTTGAACAGTAGTGCAAGTTTCAGTTTAAAAATAAATAAAAGCAGTGAATAAACAGATGTATCCACATGAAAAATGACCCTCTGCTCATGATACGAACACCAAGCGCCTTTTATGATATGTTTTTTATTATTTGTGTTTGATAAAAGCTAAAACTGGAATCGCAATTATTAACAAAACTCTGCTTGTCGGGAGAGAAATAAAGCGTATTCTTGAGCTGAGGTCTGCCAAGAGGTTTCATTTGGTCAATAGAAAAAATAATCACAGCCCCACTATTCATTTGGCTCCTATATTGGGCTGGCTAAAAAGGCTTTTAGGCTGTAATGTAGTGCTTTCAGTCGGAGAGTGATGGGCCATATGCCTGAGGCTCAGATGTATTGGAGGGAAATTAAGGTAAATGTGTCCCCTAACTGCCAATATGAGACATCCGCATTAAAGCAGACGTTATAATAAAGGAAGTGCAGTGGAAGCGAATGTAGCTTTAGGCAGTGTCAAACCAGCTTAATGATTAGCTACTCTTAATGATTGGCTACTCTTCCTTTATCTGATGTAATATATTGAGAGGTTACCTTGAGCATGTGTGTTAATTGCGTGGGTAGAGAGAAACAAATGGTCCATACAGATATCACCACTAGTTATTTTGAAAAAGCTCCTAAACATCAAATATGGAAGGAAAAGCTAACTATCCCACGGCACTCCTTCAACCAAATCCTCTGTTTTCCCCAATTCACTCTCCAAGAGGGAATATTGCATTCTCCGTCCTTTCAGTTTGCATCAGCAGACACAATTCCCCTTAAAAACCTGGAGCTGTATAGGGTAAGGGTAGATGGACCTTGGCCTTTCTGTTGTGGTGGTCAGCTATGGGCAGATAATTGCCAGGTCTGTGCGGCAGAGACAGATGATTACAGGCTTTATTGTCTCTCCCAGGCACAATCAACCCTGATTCAGCAATCTCACCTCTACTTGATTTATGAGTCACTCTCTCTCTGTTTCTCTCAACCTTGTCCTCATATGCTTTTAGCTTTCTCTCATGTCCCTTCTTCCTGAGTGTCATATACCTTTAACGCTGTAAAGGGGTCAAGAAAAGGTGGATTATGAAACAAACTGTAACTGTGCACTATGTCTTTTTCAATGACTTAGTGGCAGAGTTACCTCTTACAATTCGAACGATGTTTTCAAACAAGTCGGACAAAGGCAATGCAAGGCAAGTTTATTTATATAGAGTGGCGAAGTCCCTCCCCTTCCGGTGGACCTCCATGGGACCTTATTTCGGAAAAATTATATATTGAAGTCAATGGAGA